CCCATTTGTCAATTTTTGCTTTTGTTGTGATTACTTTTGTCTTTGTCATAAAATATTTGCCTGTTTCTATGTCCAGGATGGTAGTGCCTAGGTTGATTTCCAGGAATTTTATAGTTTTGGGCTTGACATTTAAGTCTTTAATTGATCTTGAGTTGATTTTTGTATATAGTGTAAGGAAGGGTTCCAGGTTCAATCTTCTACATATGGCTAGCCAGTTATCCCAGCACCATTTTTAGAATAGGGAGACTTTCCCCCATTGCTTGTTTTTGTCAACTTTATCTAAGATCAGATGATCGTAAGTGTGTGGTCTTATTTCTGTGCTCTCTGTTAGGTTCCATTGGTCTATGTGCCTTTTTCTGGTACCAGTACAATGCTGTTTTGGTTACTGAAACCCTGTAATATAGTTTGAAGTTGGGTAACGTGATGTCTCCAGATTCGTTCTTTTTGCTTAGGATTGCCTTGACCATTTGGGCTCTTTTTTGGTTCCATATGAATTTTAAAATAGTTTTATCTGGTTCTGTGAAGAATGTCATTGGTGGTTTGATAGGAATAACATTGAATCTGTAAACTGCTTTGGGCAATATAGTCATTTTAATGATATTGATTCTTTCTACCCATAAGCATGGGATGTTTTTCCATTTGTTTGTGTAATCTCCGATTTATCTGAGCAGTGTTTTATAATTTTCATTGTAGAGATCTTCTGCTTTCCAGGTTAGCTGTATTCCTAGGTATTTTATTCTTTTTGTGGCAATTGTGAATGGGATTGCATTCCTGATTTGGCTCTTGGCTTGGCTGTTGTTGGTGTATAGGAATGCTAGTAATTTTTGTATACTGATTTTGTATTGAAACTTCTTTGAAGTTGTTTATCAGCTGAAGGAGCTTTTGGGCTAAGACTTTGGGGCTTTCTAGATATAGAATCAATGCTGTTTGCAAACAGGGAAAGTTTGACTTCTTCTTTGCCTATTTGGATGCCCTTATTTCTTTCTGCTTCCTGACTGCTCTAAGACTTACAATACAATGTTGACTAGGAGTAGGGAGAGAGGGAATCCTCGTCTTGTACCTGTTTTCAAGGGGAACTCTTTTGTCTTTTGCACATTCGTATAACATTGGCTGTGGGTTTGTCGTAAATGCTCTTATTATTTGTTCCCTCAATACTAGTTTATTGAGAATTTTTAACATGAAGGGGTGTTGAATTTTATTAAAAGCTGATGAGACAGTTTTAAAATGGCAATGAAAACCTTTGGAGAAGAAGTGTGATGTAGAGTTTCCACAGGAGTAGGCCGTTTAGTGGGACCACAAGCACATCATGTAGCTAGCTGCAGGAGGGTCTGAAGGAATGAGATAAGAACGAGCTAAATGAACATTATAATGTTCTTGCTTGTTTCCTGAATTGCAAAAATGTTTTTGAAATTCTTCTCAAAGGTGTCCTGTACTTGAATTCCCAGTGTGATAAATTTATCTTCCTGAAAAAGCAAAGACGAAACAAAAATAAAAACTACTGTGCAATGTGCTGAGACACCCAGTGTTGCAGATAATCCAGGACCTCGTTTTAGGTTATCCCAAATGTTAAGTAAGAATTGATCCATTTAAGAGTTGCTTATGTTCCCTGATAATTATTTATCTTTATCTGGAAGACAGAGAAGCCAAAAAAATACTACATTGAAATCCAATTCCTGATCAAAAGCTTATGGATTAATTTAAATTTTAAAATTTTAGTTGTGTGATTTTTATGCAAGCATTTTTTTGGTAACCTTATGATAGTACAGAAATGTCTAATGTAATGATGTCTTCCTTTCCCTTCACGCTCACCCCTTGTCATAATCCTTGTTAATTTCTGAAATAGTACCAGGAAATTCAGATATAAAGACCTTTGATTTTCTATCTTCTAGAGAAGAAAAACACTTTCAATGCCTTCAAAGTTCACTTCTACTTCCAGTGGAAACAAATGGGTCTGCACGTTACTGTTCTCTACGGGTGAAAAGAAACCATCTAGAAGTGAGTCAACTCTGAGGTCCTAGGGTCATGTTTTTAATGACACCTCCAGTTTGTTATTTTCCCCACACCCACCACAGGGCTTTTAGGATACTTCCAGGATTTGTACTTGTATAGGCTTGTCACATGATAAGGGCCATTGTAACATTTGCCTGATATAAAAAGATGAGAGGGAAAGTGACTTTAAAGAAGAGAAAAGGAAGCAAGGAGAGAGAGCCACTCACTCTGTAAAATTCCTTGTGGTTATGGAAGATGAGACGCATATCCTGCACGAACTCCTCCACTCGGGAGTACACCTGCTCATTCAGTCTTCTCTTGACTTTGTTTAACCACATGGGCTTCTGTGGGCCCCGAGACCCCTCTCTGTTCTGTTGAGAAAAGGACCAAAGTGAGGTTATCAGCAGTGCCAAGTCTGCCTCCCATAGACACCCACTCTTATGGAATAAAGGTTTGTTGGCTGCCCCATTTGTAGGTTGAAATCCTAACCCCCCTACGAAGGTGCTAGGAGGTAGGGCCTTTGGGAGGTCATGAGTTAAGAAGGGTGGAGCTCTCATAAATAGGATTAGGGCTCTTATAAAAGAGACTCCAGAGAGCTCTCTCCGTCTCTTTCTGCCACTCAGGAGCAGGTGGCTCTCTGCAACCTAAAAGGCAGCCCTCTCCAGAACCCAACCCGTCTGCCACCCTGATCTTAGACATGTAACCTCCAGAAAGGTGAGAAAAACATTTCTGTTGTTTAAGCCACCTCGTCTATGATAAATTTTTATAGTAGCCTGAACTAAAAACTCATCAACAAGGCAAATAGAATGGCATCTGGTACCATGGATTTCAGATCACACATCTGAAAAAAGACAGTTTAAGCTTTTTTTTTTTTTTTGGCTGTTACTTACATAATATGGTTTTGAGGCAAAAAAGGGGCTTTTTGAATCACAGTAGACCTTCAAGAGAAGGAATTCACATTTCTGCAAAAGATGGAGGACATTTCAAGTTAAATGCAGTTTAGAGAGAAAGAGCTCCTATGCATGCCCAAAGAGAACACGTGACTCCCAAACCTGTGGACTCTTTGAAACAAACATGGAATGGGTATTTTCTTTGGACAGGGGAATTTTCTTTGGAATATGAAATGTAGGGTTATGTCATGGAGGAAAGCACACCATGGGCCAGCAGTTTGCCTTTGGGCTCCATTCCTTGAGCTCTTTTCAAGACTGTGCTTCTCCTGCCCAGGTGAACAGAAAGAAGGAGGCTTCAGGTGCACATTTTTAACTCACCAGCTGCTCCTCGGGCAGCATCTCCCTCATCAGGACTTCAGATTCCTGACGACATGGTTGGCTTTCTGGGCATCTTTCCTGAATAGCCTTTATCCTGCAGAAGATGCAACTCCACGGGTCCCTGAGAGATTGGGCATCAAGTGAGCAATGGCAAGTTCAGTGAATCAGCTGCCAATCCTACAGTTGTTCAGATCCTCTGCTCAAGAATGACTGGTGGTTTCCACCTTGTATCCAATTTCTTTCTTGGACGCCTCTGCACTAGAGCCCCATTTGGACTCAATAGCCAAAGGCGTGACCTCCCACCAGTATCGGTAGCAGGGATGATCATCTGTTGGGCGAAGTGCCCAGTAAGTGATGGAATCTCATTCACCTCAAAACTTGGGGTCCCCAGCTGAGCCACCGGGAACTTAATAGTGAGCCCTGTTTGCCAGTCAGTTATTGGAAATGAATGCCTTAAGCACAGTCTTGGGCCTCATTGAGTCAATCAGATCATAGAAAAATCAGAAACAAGGTCTGGTTTCTCAACTTTACTGAGTAAGCACAGAGCACAGGCTATAGGCCCTCTCCCTTGGCCCTGCCATATCTTATACCTAGACTCTGTGCGGCAGAAACTTCTTGAAAAGGAAATCTCTGGACAGGGTGTCAGATATCTTCCATGCGCTCCAAGATTCATTCTCCAACCTTTTCTACCAGGCTGTCTGTGCTAGAAGGCTCTTGATATTCAGGTAAGCACAATGACCCATCCTAGTGATGCCAGTATCTCCTTGGCCATGTAGTGCTTGCTCAAGGAGCCTATTACGAAGTGCTTCGTTGAGAGCACTTTGCAACTCTGGTGCAGAGATGGGGTCTATTCATGGGTTCAACAAAACAGCTGATTTTTCTTCTGCCTCTGCACATTGCCCAACTGGTCAAAAGCAGAGGTTTATGCTGATCCCCTGAGATGACACCCTGGGAGCAGGTGGATCACATTAGCTTCCTCCATTATGAAAGGGCAATGCTCTGCCCTCATAGAGACAGATACATTCCTGGTAGAGATCATCCTCTCAGCCTTTGTAATTCTGTCCACGGCACCACTCACAGAGCACCTTATCAATCTCCATGGTATCCTGCACACCATCACCTCTATCCAAAGAGACATTTGATAGCAAAGGAAGTGGGCAGGGGACTCATACTTGCAGAATTCACAGGTTTCAACATGTGACCTGTGACTGAGTCAGTTGGCTTGATAAACTGCTGCAGCACTGGCTTTACTCACTGTGTGATGGTCCCACAGCAGATGTCATATCCTTTAAATCAGTTGGCAGTGTATGATGGCATCACCCCATCAGAGGGCATGAGTCTGAGAGCCAAGTAGGGGAGGTGGAGGTTGACACCTCTGATTATTGCACCCAATAACCACTCGAAGAGTTTTTGCTTCCCATTAATCTGCTGCTGCCAGCACTGTTCAGCAGCTTTGAATAATACTTGTGGATCCTGATACCAAGGAGCATGCTCCTTATGCATCAAGATACAAATAACCAGGGACAGAAACTCTACAGAGTATGCATGAGTGGTGAGAGGAGCTGTACCACAAGAAGGAAGGGCTCAGGGAAGGGAACACGTCTTACTCACTTCTCAGCTTCCACAGGCGGGATGTGGCAGTGTTCATGAAAGGATCGTGGGCAAGTGTCACAGCAAAACAGCGTTCCCCCTTTGTTGCACACCTTACAAATATTTGAATTTTCTGGCTAGAAGGGGAGATAATGTAGACATCACTGAAATCAGTGAAACCCTGGGATCCTAGAACATGTGACCTTTTCATGTATCAAGGGCACACTTGTAAATTTCTCTCCTCGAAATATGAAGGATTACTGAGTGGAGATCTCAGAAAACATTTTGGTCTGCAGAAAAGTTCAGGAGATAGAGGTTGTGTGTCAGGCCAGAAAAGTTTTGTTTATGAAAGCAGAGATTCTGACATAACTAGTGACAAAAATATGATGAATTAGAGATACTTTGATCAATTTATTATGCAGCTGGCAAAACCGGGCCCAGAAATAGTGTCTTTTCTAACTGTCTATGTTGTATTCTTTAAACTGTCTTGCATGCTCTGCTCATATACCCCAAAACCTATAATCCAATAAAAAATTAAAAAAAATAAATAAATAAACTGACTTGTCAAAGGGTGATTTACTGAGAAATTAATATGATGGAGTAAACTTCTGAGATATCACTGCAACCCACACTCTTGCCATACGCAAAAATGAGTTGAAGAAAGGGCTTGGGGAGGAGTTCCTGGATGTCAGTTCTTTGCTTGGAGGGCCCTGGGCCTGCAGCAGTACCTCTAGGAGGGAAAATCCATGGGCAAGATGATCAGGTGGGCACCAGGGAGTACAAGCCTTTTTACTTTTTGCTCTGGGAACCTGGAGGAAGAGCCCCCATGACTTAGTCAACTTAGCATGTAAGGTGTGGTAATTTCTCTTCATCTACAAAGTCACTATACAAAGAAGAGACTAAAGTCACATGTATGAGAAAATTCTAGGCTGTAAGATATATCTTGCCCATGTGTTCCCTTTCAGTGGCAGAATTCGAGTGGCCTATTTGGAGCCATTCCTTGGGCACATCTCCACGGGGAGTGCCTGAGCTTGCCCTGGTGTGGGGTCTTGTAACTGTTTCTCCTTTTTGTTGTAACAGATGAGACTCAGTAGTTTATTAGATTATTTATGCATCATTTCCTTGTTAGCCATTTTATAACCTGTGAATTTCAAATGTTCACCTGAGTAAGAACCTTAAATTAACTACATGGGTATTCCCATCAATAACTCAGAGGATTCAAGTGTTTTCATTAAATCAACAACATTAACTTAGTCTTTCTTATTAAAAGAAAGATCATTTTGTTTGGCTGGGTTTATAGTTTTGTTTTGTTTCTTTTTTAATCTTTATGTTCCTTTATTGGCGCAAGATCCCTGTTCAGTATACAGTGAAGTATTTACTAAACAGAGACCTGTGCGGAAATTACATACTATCCATCTAGACAGGTTGTTACACTTTTGCCTATTGATGGAATAGTTCCATTTATCAAGTTTTATACATCAAAAAGCTTTTGAATTTCACCAGACTGTCCATTAATTCACCTCTGAAAAAGTGGCATTTAATTTCAGCTACTATATTTTACAGCATTAAAAAGCTTATGCATTAGGGTGCTTCTCTGCACAATGGAATTGAGCAGACAGAGCTGAGTCCATTATTCCACCCAGATTCACATAGTCACATTTGAGAACTTTATACCAGAGAGCTGGGACAGTTACCGCCAACCATCGCAGACTCCTTACTCTGAGAGCCTATCTCCTTGGCCACATTTTATATAGCCAATGAAGACATGCCAGCAACTGTCCCACGTATAACTTGGCATGAGAGCACCAGGTCTGTTGGATGGTGGTGGCAGGTACTATTATTTTATATCCAGGTAAATGGCCAATTTTAAAAACTGCCACTTGGAGATAAAAATCAAGGGCACAATATACTCAAAGTATTGAGCAATCTGGTATCCCAAATGATGTGAGTACTTTCAGAAACCAATGGCAAATTGTACCCACTTTCCCAGCTATGGTGATATCAATACATTGATTCAGATCCCGTTACTCAATCCACATAGCCCTGAGGTCATCCTGCAAAGTGCGTATCAAAAAAATATGAAGTTAGGGTGACAAAGTTTGACAGTGATGTTGTACAAGTCAAACTTGGAAGGTAAGCAGACCTGTGCTGAGAGAAGAGCATCAAATCGTTTGTGTACACATTTAGTTTTATTGTAACAAAGCACTTGTACACTTTTAACGTTTAAAACTGAGCATCATCTTTCCTTTCCAGTGAAACAAAAAGAAAATTTAAAAATAAACAGGAACAAAATTACAGTAGAGAATGTCAATTCCAAATAAGATCCTACAGGTTCTGCTGATTCTCCCATTGAGTGGCAGGGCTCAAGTCATCATTAGGAGAGAATTTATTTTAAAAGTGTCATCTTCAACTGCAAGGATGCCTGTCAAATGTCACAGTTAAACATGCCAAAGGAGAAGCCATGTTGTCAAGATGCCCACTTACCCCACCCAGACATCTCAGACCCACCCTTTGCTGACCTTCTATAACCCCATTTTTAAAAGTTATTTTTTCTTTTTTTTAAACAAGAGAAAGTAGACAAATACATGTTGGTAAATGCTAATTGTCCATATTCACATAGAGACACAGTGTACTCTCTGAGCCCAATATACAGAGAAAGGAGGAAAAGAGCTAGAATTCTATGCACTACTACCCAGGGGCCTAGCACCCTCCAGCTTCCAGCAGAGCGAAGGGAGCACGTTTTTCTTTTTTCCCACAGAGCTCGGTGGTATTGATTCCATACAGTTTTTGTTCAGTCAGGAAGGGATAAAAATGAATTCCAAACAGAAAGGGGTAGAGACTCTTTTCCCATTGTATCCGCTCAAGATATTTCCCCCCCAAATAAGTTGAGAACCATGGTGTAGAGAAAAGAGACCTCAAAAACAGGGTGACTGAGCACAAGAGGGAAGAAAAAAAAAACAACTGCAACTTGCTCCCAGGGACTGGAGAAAATTTAAAAAAAGGAAGGTTGGAATCCATCAGTGTTCTATTAGTCATCTTCTCCTTCATCCTCCTCTCCTTCCTCCCCTTCATCATCATCTTCATCTTCTTCACCTTCATCCTCATCCCCTTCTTCATCAATATCTTCTAATCCTTCCTCCTCTTCTTCTTCTTCTTCTTCTTCTTCTTCTTCTTCTTCTTCTTCTTCTTCTTCTTCTTCTTCTTCTTCTTCTTCTTCTCCTTCTCCTTCTTCATCATCCATATCAGGAACCAAGTAGTATTGTAATGGGTTTGGCCAAATATCATCTTTGATGACCTCTCCTAATTTATCAGCACCTGCATCAGAATGGTCAGTAAACCAGCTAAAGAAGTTCTCTGGCTCCTCATGCTGCCTCTTCCTGCTGGCTTTATTCTGCGTTTGATTTGAACGTTTTGTCAAATCCTTTCCAGATTTCCATTTGATTTCAGGGGACTTTGAAGATAGATCACCACTCTCACTCAGATGAAATTCTTTGGAGAGAACTTTATTTTTAAAGTAAGGATTTTCATCAAAATAAAAATCTATTCTGTAACCTGATTTAATATCTTCACATTCTGTCACTTCAACTCTGGTCAAATAATGCAGTGCCTCTTCGTCCTCCTCCCCAAGCAGTGCAGACACTTGTGGATGGTTGACAAATGTTGTTACCCAAAAATTTGGGATTTTGGCAATCCATTCTGACCTCTTCTGAAAAAATGGTTGGCGGAATTTGTTATATTTCTGTTCTACTTTCAAAATCTTCTCACTGGCTTGTTCATTAAGTCTGTCTATTTCATTTTGTACATCATCAATGTGTTCAATTGCTTCTTGCTGTTCTTTTTCTCCCTTCTCCAGCAAACCTGCTGAGGCCGATGTCTCCTCCAGTCCCTGAGCAGGAGGTGGTCTTGGTTTCTTCTTTTGAGGCAGGAGTGGAGACTGGCGTTTTGGGGCCATGCTGCTGGGGAAGTCTGAGAACCGGAGCACATGTCTTGTTGCTCGTCCGGAAGCAGGCAGAACACTGACCTATAGTTTTTTTTAAATTAATTTTTGTTGTTGTTGTTGTTGTTGAGACAGAGTCTCCCTCTTGTCACCCAGGCCGGAGTGCAATGGCACGATCTGCAACGTTTGCCTCCTGGGTTCAAGTGATTCTCCTGTCTCAGCCTCCTGAGTAGCTGGGATTACAGATGCCCACCACCATGGCTGGCTAATTTTTTTTTTTTTTTGTATTTTTAGTAGGAACGGGGTTTCACCATGTTGGTCAGGCTGGTCTTGAACTCCTGACCTCAGGTGAGCCACCTGCCTCAGCCTCCCAAAGTGCAGGGATTATAGGTGTGAACCACTGTGCCTGGCTTATTTTATCAGTAATTGTAAAGCCAGCTTGTTTATTAAAGATTTTCTTAAGTCATATGAACTTGAGAAATATTTTGAACTTAATTAATGAACACTCTTTTCTTTTTATTTGCTTATTTTTATAGAGATGAGGTTTTTCACCATGTTGCCCAGGTTGGTCTCGAATGTCTAAGCTCAAGCAACCCACCTGTCTTGGCCTCTCAAAGTGCTAGGATTATAGGCGTGAGTCACTATGCCTGGCCAGCACCTTTTCTTTGATAAGTCAATTTGGTAGGCATATATATAACATAATAAAGGTACATACACATGAACACATCTAAATGTGTATGCACATGAACAAAATAATTCTAGCCATGAGATAGCAATACAAACTCACCAGTCTGCAAACATGTTAACATGGCTAAACTTTGCCTTGGCAGGTAATCCAGTGAAGGCTGTGCACCAAAATTTTGGGTGAAGCAGTTTTCATGGAAGTTTGATTTTTAAAGGCCAAATCTCCCCAGACTCCAAAGAACACTGGGGCCAGCATTTTGGGAGGCTGAGGCAGGTGGATCATTTGAGGTCGGGAGTTTGAGACCAGCCGGCCAACATGATAAAACTCCAAATTCCAAAGAATATTGGTGCTAAACAGTATTACAAAAGAATATCAGTTTATCAAATTCTAATTCAACTATATCGACACACACACAATCACCAAAATGCAATGATCCATCTGCTGCCACAACAAACATGCCCCAAAACTGTTCCAACTGAAACAGTCAGGGTGCTTTCCTCTCTCCATCAGTTGGGCGTTTTCAACCTGTAAACAAAAATTCCTTTGAAGTATCTCAAATCAAGAGGAGCCAATCCCACTGTCTGGAACCTGCAATGAACTCTCAGTTGCTGGGACACACACACAATTACAAACAAGCCATCAGGAAAGTCCATACCAAAGTCAGGGTGCTTCCCTCTTTCAGTCATTTGAGCTTTTTCAACCTGCAAATGAAAATTCCTTCAAAATGTTCCCCAGTAGAGAAGAGCAGATCTTGCTGTCTGGGCCCACAAAGGACACTCATCTATCCAGATGCAGATGTAAAATTTCAAAGGCTGTTCTTTCTAGGCAAGCAAGAGTGTGGTTGGGGCCAGAAGCAGCAGGGTCAGAGAGAAACCAAAATTCACCTCTAGTCACAACTGGGTGGGCAGCTGCTTAGGAGGGCCTCTGAGACTCATGGCCCATGGCAGCCAAGATGCAAACAACATGTTTCCTGTTGGGGAACCAAAATCTCTTATTGAAACACCCTGATCTAGGTCCAGCTGTTTACTGCACAGAAAGCCAATCGCTGCGACAAGTATTGCCAAGGCAGAAGGCTTTAATCAGGTGCTGCAGCCAAGGATATGGGAGATCAGTCTCAAATCCATCTCCCCAACTGACTAAAATGAGGAGTTTATAGGGCAGAAATGTAACTACACGAAGGAAAGCAGGAATTAGGGGTAAAGAAAAAAATATGTCAACAAGAAACAGGTAGTCACTTAGGCAGCCATGGGGGTGAGGGGTCTGGGTCGCATTGTCCAGATGTGGTGACCTGGTGAATTTCAGCTCCATGATACAATCTGAGAGGCCTGATGGCTGGTTTCCTGGGAAGGGACCTCAGATAAGACAAATGGACCTTTCTGAGGTTTCAAAACTGGGGGCTCAATTTTCATGTTTATTCAAAAGAAACTGTAAACATCAGTTCTACGGGACAATTGGGTCAGTTTCAGGTTCAGCAGACCCCCTTTTCTCGGCATCCACATGGCAAGCAGAGAAAGGACAGTGAAAACCTACATGCCACTTTTGACAGTTTAATTTGTAAGTAAACAGGCTCCCCTAATTAACCTACCTTGGGAAGGTCTTGTGATTCATGGTTAAATCCTGTCCCTGAATCTCATGGTGAGATCCTCAAATTATTTACACACTGATTAATGCATACCCCACTGACCCTGGAAAGAGTGCTGACGGTATTTTTGAATCATAAAGTTTTACTGATTGTCTTACATGAAGACATTTGAGCCTGTATGTTGCAATCTGAATCCAATGATCAGATTGTATATATATTGTATTCTCCAATGAGAAAGGACAATTCTGGTGTGAGGAGTCCCTCTTCCTTCTCCTGACCCTACGTACAAAAGCATTCCAACTTGTAACAGACTCTGGAACACTTTCAACTTTGTTGGTGTGTTTTCTTAGGTTGATCCTCACATTTGGGCCTTCAATAAACTGTTATCAAATTACTTCTTTCTCAACAGGCTTAATTTTGGTCAACTTTCTGGTGTAGAATTTTGGCAGAATTTTGCAGTGACCTCCCTGGACCACATAGTGCAGCTTCCAACCTTTGTGCAGGTACTGGCAATGAATACATTGTGTTCCTGAACTCGGATGCCCTGGCTGATTTTGCAGATGAGTTCCTCCCAAAATCAATGCACCTCCCGTCTTGGTGGAATTTCTGGTTTTTTGAAGCTGGTTTCCTCCTGGGCTAAATAGGAGATTTTGTTGAATCCTAGGGAAGTGTAAAATAAGAGCTCTGCAAATTGTTTCACTGAAGGTTTGAGATAGGACAACCTTTCCATAGCTTTCTCATTTTTGAGTGCATGAGGGAGGGCACTCTTGTTCCAAAGTTAAGAAACGATCTCTGTCTGTGACCAAAGTTAAGAAATGTTCTCTGTCTATGACCAAATGGCTTTTAAGAAACCCAAAATAGCAGAGGTGTCAGAGCATAGCCCCCACAACACGGAGCGGTCTCATAGGAAAATCTTCACATTGTTAACTTTTTGCTCAGCTGGCAGGCTTCATAAAAATTGATTATCTCTTGCCCATGAATACCTGAAACTTCTTGGAGGTGACTCTGGAGTTACAGACATGTAAGCGAATCTTTTTAGCCTATTGAGTGAAATTTTGGGAAAGGAAAATTTAAAATCACCACACTTGACCCACTATATTACTTGTCTCACTCAAAACAAACCAAGATGGAAAATGTATTTTCCATGACTGAGGGTACACTGCCTCTATCAGCACCAGCTGATTTGATCTGTAATGCTTAGGGTCCTTCTTCTTCCAAGTACTTAGATAATTGGACCCATGTAACCCTGAATGGTCATAAGCAGCAGTGGCCAATATAAGGATCTTTTGGAAATGCCTAAGCTGATGTATTGCCATGCACAATTGAAAAAGGCTGGTTTTTAGAACCAGACAGATTGACTTACTTTCAATAGCAGTGAGATGCTCCTAAAAGAAATTATGGGAAAAAAATGGTCTTCATTGAAGAGAGAAGCAAAAGGCTATTTCACACTATTTCTGATTTGAAAAAGATTTCAAAAGCTTTCTCCCTTTAACTTCCAACTGCTCTTCCTCCTTCTGCCCCTGTGCCTTCTTATTCTTCCTTATCTGAATTTGTTCCTTTCTGCTTGTTCTCTTGGCTCCCATAAGGCTTTAGGTAAGGATTTTTGGAATGTCACAATACACACTTTTTTTCTCTCTCAAAAGGGGAAAATGTATTTAAATTTAGAACAGAGAAGCAAACAGAACAACTAAAGAATGAAAATTGAACAATGAGACCACGTGAAGTCAGGGAGAGGAGCATCACACATGGGACAGTTGGCGGGGTAGGGGAGAGACAATGGGGGTGGGGAGGGATAACATGGGGAGAAATGCCAGATATAGTATGCACCTAAAGTAAAATAAATAAATTATAAAAAAAGAAAATGAAACTACTAAAATTATCACAATACAGATCCAACAGTTTTTTCTGAACCAGGACTAATGACTGACATAGACGCATTATTGCAAGCTTTGCTGGATCATTTATTCTCCCAATCTCCCAGCGACATTGGTAAAATATAGTCAACCACCTCCATTAAAGTGCAATTAAGACCAATAACACCCTTTACCCAATATCAGACTATACCCTTCAAATGCCCTGCTGGACTTCAGTCCCTTGGAGATGTAAAACTTCATTGGCCTTATGGAAGGATTAAATTCTTTCTTTCTCTGTGTTTAAGATATAAATTTGCTATACTCAGTAAAGGCTTTGGTCATGTAGGACAGATAGCTTTAACTAGTTGTATTTTCAAAGGCACAATTTAATTTAATTCTCCTTTTAAACTAGTGAATTTTACATAATTCATGACCAAAATTTTAAAATCAAAGCTATAAAATCTCTACGATGTACCAGATTGACTTATAAATACATTAATGCTCATGAATTATTAATCCCAAATATTTTCTAAGTTCACATGACTTGAATAAATCTTTTTTGATAAGTATGACTTATTGAATATTTTTGCTTTAAACAACTATCTCCTAAGTAATCAGCAAAATACCCATAATATTTAACTTTAAGGTTCTTCAGTGAACATCTGATATTCACAGGCTATAAAAATGGTTGACATGAAAATAAATTGAAATGATGACTACTTTTATCTAACATATCAGTTTTCATAAGTAATCTAGATTAATTGTTAAAAGTAAATAAAGAAAATGTAAATGGGATAAACATATATAAACATTTAATGTAATTTATAATATCAAAGTTTTGCTAAATTAAATTCAAAAATAGAGGCTCATCAAATGTCTGGGCCATTTCCCATTAAGATAAAAAAGTTTTTGTTATGGAATAATGTTTATAAAAATTATAAAAGAGTTCTCATTTGTAAAATAC